TATATATAATTTTTTTTCTTTCTTTTGTAGGCGTCTTCCATGCCACATCAGTGACGTCTTCAAGTTCTGTTGGACTCTGTTTGTGTATACAAAAGGTAATTAGACTGAAAGAAGCCTTCCCTGTTTAAACTTAAGACCGTCAGTATGGTTTAGATAAGCCTACTTACACAGTCTGTCATATAATGCTATTAACTACGTAAAATAAAAAATCTGTTAATTATTTCACAGCCATAATGAATGAATAAATTGTGAAGGTTTACCATGAAACAAAAGTAAAAACCATGTATTTTTAAAAGTTTTGGGATTGGTAAGATTTTTAAATGTTTTTGAAGGATTTTTAAATGATGACTCCAAACTTTTGAACAGTAGTGTATTTTTTACATATGTGCATCTCTAATTCTGAATGATTTGGCAAAAGTTTCTGGTTGACTTATCTTAAGCGTTCTGAATGCTAAAGTAAACTCATGACATGATGTCTGCTTTATTTCAGGTAATTTCCGTATGATTGGAGATGACCTGGTCAACTCCTATCACCTCCTGCTCTGCTGTCTGGACCTGGTGTTTTGCAACGCTCTCATGTGTTCCAACAAGAAAGATCTCGTCAATCAATACTTCAGAGGTAAAACTCCCTTCGTCTCGCTGTGAGAGAATGTTTCCTTGATTAATTGTTGATTTTCTGTTTACAAGTCATTATCCTTGAGAAGGCAGACAGAGTTACAAGTGAGTCCATTGATTGCATTAGAGGAGTTACTTGCAAGGCAGTGCACTTAGTTTTGGAATATTGACTGAATATGTGAAGTTGTAGTTAATTTAAAACACTACAACTTATATCTGTTCATCAATGACCCAATGAAATAATTTGAGATCTGTTTTCTTTCCCGTATTATCTGTTGAAACAGGAACATGGGTCAGGCCACAGAACATCACAGTTATATCACAATAACACTGTTTCAGTCTACTTGTTGTAATCAGCGTTTAGGAGTATATTAGTATACAGATGCCGCAATTTAGGACTGAAATATGAACTGAAAACTTTTTTCATTGAAAAATATTAATTTATGATCAGATTAGTAGGTTGCTTTGTTGTAAATGCTTCATTTATAGTCTTTTGCTCACCTCTCTTTAGGACTGCCGAAGGATACAGAAAACTTGGAAGAAATGCCCTGTGTCATTGACAAGTTGTGTGAGCTGCATGATGGGTTGGTGGTGGAGGCCAAAGGCATAAAGGAGCACTACTTCAAACCCTACATAAAGACACTATTTGAGAAAAAAGTGAGGAACACACACACACACTTTTACAACCAATCTACACTGCAAGAACATCATGATTGTTTACAGCTTGGTCATGCTTGCCATATTCTAAAAAATATTCCCTTATTTTTCTCAGATATTAAAAGGTGATGCTGAGACACTGACTGAATTACTGGATACCCCAAATTTCCAAGACAACAAGTAAGTATATGCCTTGAAATTTCTTTATACATTTTTTTTGTTCTTTTTGGCATTTCCAGCAATTTTGCATTTAAATAAAAAGATTAAAGCATAAAATGAAATGCCTTATTTCAATAAGTGCTTGTATGTGAATATTGTTTTTTTCCCCCAGTAAATCCATAAATCGTGAGTATGAGGAATATGTTTTGACTGTGGGGGATTTTGATGAGCGAGTGTTTTTGGGGGCCGACGCAGACGAGGAGATCGGCACACCTCGCAAGGCCACCGCTGAGCCTCCATCAGGTCAACTATCCGCCCGCATGCAGGTGGAGAACAACCTTCAGCAGCACTTTGAGAAGGTACTAAAGATTTCTTTCACTGCTGCCACATTAAAGTAACATTTATCATGCTAATTGTAGGGATGCAGCGATTTAACCGGTTTCACAATTAACTGCGCTTTAAAATGTCACGGTTAATTAATCGTAAAGCCTCCGCTACACCGAGTATTTTATTAATAAAAGTCACAGGGCAGGGTTCACTACAAGTTTGTGTCCTCGTGAATGTTTGTATGTGTGCACAGCGCGATCTCCAACAAGATTTTTTTTTTCCACCATGTTTCCAGTTTTCTGCCTCAGGTCCAAAGAAATGTAAAGAATGTACAAACTGAAAACACTAAATACTTTTGTGATCTATTTTCATTAGTTATTTTCAAA